GCTCCAGTACCCCTCGTACGAGCACCTCCAGGCCCAGCAGCTGCAGCACCTCCAGCACCACCAGCTCCAGTAGTAACTCCAGCACCTCCAACTCCAGTGTCTCCAGCTGCAGAGTCTCCAGCTCCGGCAGCTCCACTCCGAAGGCGGGTGCGCTGATCAAACCACTCGAGCAGATGCTGTGGGGAGAGAGGCTCCGGCTGGGGAGACAGTCGTGGCGAAGCACCCGCAGGACCTCTAGAAGAAGCAGTACCCCGCGGCTCAGCACCCCCAGACTCCGCACCCTCAAACTCAGCACCCCCAGGCTCCACACACTCAGGCTCAGCACCCCCAGGCTCCACACCCGCACGCTCAGTACCCCCAGGCTCCGCACCCCCAGGCTCAGCACCCCAAGACCCGGGACCCTCAGACTCAGCACCCCTAGGCTCCCCACCCCCAGACGCACCACCCCCAGACGCAGCACGTGGAGTAGCATCTGAGCCGACAGCTACCTCAACAGGTGCAGTACCAGGGAGAGGGTCTACCTGAGACACACCTGAGGGAGCAGGACCCTGGGGGGGGAGGGGGTCTACCGGAGGGGGACCTGGATCAAGGAAGAGCGGCGGGGGTGGGGGAGGGGCAGAGCGGAAGGGGAAGAGACGGTAAAAGGGAACCGACTCGTCAAACGTGACGTCCTGAGAGGGGAAGACACGGCACGAGGTGGGGTGGTAAAACTGCCAACCAGGCGCGTCAGGGGAAAAGCCAAGGAAGACGCAGGGAATAGCGCGGGCGGAGAGCTTGTCCGCGGACGTATCACGAACAAAGGCACGAGAACCCCAGACCCGGAACACTGCCGCATCGCCAACCTTCCCCGTCCAACGTAGTGTAGGCGAGGTCTCCGGCAAGGAGACATGACGCCAGAGGGTGAGCTGATGCGCAGCGTACTGGACCGCAAACGGCCACAGAAAATGGGGAGCAGCCGCATGGATCATGGAGGTACAAGCGACCTCCATTACTAAGCCAATGCGGCGCTCAGCAATCCCATTCTGCTGAGGGGAGTCCGGAAGCGTGAACGATTGGAGAATGCCCTCCCCATGACAAAAGTCCCGCAAGAGGTCGGAGGAGAACTCACCACCTCTGTCAGAGTGCAGACGTAGGATGGGAAGGTCCTGGCGGAACCGCTCGCGGAGCTGGAGACGGACTGTCTGGATCCAAGGGATCAAGACATCAACGACCTGACCCTTGCTGCGCAAGGGGAAGACCGTGGTGTACCGCGTGTCCATCCGTGGTGACCCTTGTCCACTGACGCGTGCTGGGCCCCACACGTCCATGTGGAGAGTCTGCAGGGGAGCAGTCGTCGGGGGAAACGAGGAGGAGTGAGGAGCGGCGCGCTGCCGCCCCTCGACGCAAGGAAGGCAGGGCGGGGCAGGCGAGGGCGGGAGGGGAGGCAGAGACCTGGGAAGACCAGAGACAAGGAGACGGGAGTGCATGCCACGAAGGCGTGGCAGGGAGGGATGACCCAGGCGGTGGTGCCACAGAAGAGTCTGGTGCGACAGGAGGCGACATGAGCAAGGGGGTGCTACCTGACCTGACTCGGACACCTGGGCAGATGCACCAGAGGAGGCTCGGTAGCCAGTGTGTACAGACTCGACCCTGGCCGACGAGTGAACGTGGCCAAGTGACAGCCCGTCTGTGTACACGTGCAGATCGACACACGCTGACCCCCAGGAGTGGTGGTAGTGACCATCGCGTCCTGGAGGGCAGCGGTACTCACCAAGTTCGTAGAGAACGAGGAGAGGTGAAGGCCTGACAGTGAGCCGGACGGAACCGCCGGATACGGGAGCACAATGGAGGAACGGGCGAGTACTGGGTCCCCGGAGGGGTCAGCCAGCCTGACCGGTACAGGTGCAGAGAGAGGAGTGAGGGTGGTGCTGTCGCGAAAGAAACAGCGTGAGGCACCTGAGTCAAGCGTGAAGGTGTGCAAGGCCTCAGCAGGCGCAGTACCAGGGAGAACAGACTCACTAGCACCTTGAGCAACAGCCTCTATACCTGGGTCAGGCGGCACACACAGGTAACAGTCACCCTAAGCACTAACACACAGAGCATACATAGCAGCAAGGATAACATCTTAGTCTAGGTCAAAGATAGCAATTCCAGACCTATGCAGCTCTGCCCAGCAGGGGCGCTCGGCCTCGTCACCAAACTCTGCGCGCCAAGCGTCGTCGAGGCGGGAGAAGCAGCGGTGCTGAATGTGAGGCTTCCCGCATGTCTGACCAGCACGGTCACCCGTGCGAATGGCATACGGGCAGCTACCACAACCCCCAGACGCCCCACGCTGAGCAAACCACTCACGAAGCTGCTGAGGCGACGGGGTCTCGCTCCGACGCTGCTGTTGCTGCCGCTGGCCACCTCCCGTTGCTGCTGCTGCTGCTGCCATGTTCAGTAGACAAGGATGTTACAAGAACGGCAGATGCTCCTGGTACTACTGGCTCTATGCGGATGCGTACAGTAGGTTCCGTAGGACTATCGCGAGAGAAAGACAAGCGCAACTGTTTGTGCTTGGTCGCTTTTAACTTAGCACTAGCGGCAAGGCCGATCCGTGTTGCACCAGGTCGTAAAACACAGGTGGGGATTGTACTAGCACGGGGTGGTTTTACTGCTTGAGTTGGAGATGAACCAGCAGCGGGTGAAACTACCGGTAAGCCTGTGGTCGACTAGCCGATGATACCGGCGCCGCGACATTGTCCTCGTTGGCCATTACTAGTGCGAGTGAGCCAGTCGAGCTTCACTTGTGTTACTACTCTAGCAGCAACACTGTAAGGGTGTTCCAGGAGGCTCAACATCAGAGAGTCACCCACCTAGTGCATGCATGGCACACGACACGACGAGATGGGATTGTTCCCTGTTTTCCCCATCTGATGGGTTTGGTTGGTGCGTTGCGCAGGTTCAGAAGTGCATGGGGATCGCGAAGGCGGGACAAATACACGGGGAAAGCAATCCGCGGCGGAAAATTTTACGGGGAAAAAATTCCCGGGAAACGGTAACCCCCACCCGTCCCCCCCCCCCCCCCCCCACCTGAATTCAAGGTACCGTAATCAAGATGTTTTGCCCTGATATCTTGGGGTCTGATCCGTTGTCCTAAAATAACATTGACACCGATATTAATAAAAACATAGAGTATGCCTTCCTTCCTCTTCTTTAGAAAGAATATATCTTCTGCCTTAAATCTACGATGAGGATTCAATGAACCTGGCTTGCAGACTGATAGCCCTTACATATATATACACCTATGTGAACACTTTGACTGGCCTTGTGGCCTTGTTTATCTCAGAGGTTGGACTAGTAGTGTTGCCCTGAGTCTGCATGTCATTGTTGCACAGTGACTGCCCCTCACCTAGCCTAGGGGGTGTGTCAAACGATATTTGTTATATGTTTGGTAGGCTAGGTTGCATATGCTGGAGCATACTACAGAGGGTACGTGTTTGGTTGTTATAACCCTGGATGCCATCCAAGTAGTCATTCTGTTCAGTTCTACTTCAGACAGAAACCACAACTACTGTTCCCCTCGTCCGCCCTCCGCACCGACCTACACCACCACCTGCAGCCGAAGACATAATGCCATCACGCAAACCATGGGATGCGATCGACTGGGGAAACGAGCCATCGACCCCTCGTCGCACCATCTTCGGCCCCGATCTCGAGCCGCGCAAACCTGATCTTGTCCGAGGCACCATCAAAGGGACCAACATTTCACTCTCTGTCATCCCTGACCGCACCTTCCTCGCACTCATCCTGTCAACAACAACAGAAGAAGAATTAGAGGAAGAAGAAGGAGAAGTAGAAACCGAGCACGAACCTGAAGAAGATCCCGCCGAAGTGTGTGCACGCCTGTTATCTACGCGCCCCTGGAGCCCGTGCAACGGACGATATTTGGCACCAAAGCCTCGGACACCCTTCACGCCAAACCCTTAATAACTGCATCACCGCCAAAGTATTCGCACCTAAAGCAATTATGAGCCCCAATGGAACCGAGCAAAGGAGCGTGTCATAGCCACATACCTGCACTGTCTGCCCGAAGCCGCGTTAACTCACCAACCCTCCCCCCTGCTGGATCCAGGCACCTATCGGTACCCTCAGCTGCACAAGGTGTACAGCGATTTCCTCGTTGGTAGCCATTGCGGACTTAACGACGAAGCTTACACGCTGACATTTGTGGACGCAGAAACACACTACGTCTGTATCGCCAACGTCTAATTCCGTAGCAGGGCGTATGAGGTGTTTCGCCTCGGGCTGGCTCACGCCCGATGACAGCCAAGAAAGAAACTGCAAATCTTGCAGACAGACGGCGCAACAGAACTTCCCAGTAAGGAGCTCCACAATTTCTTCAGCAATGAAATAGGCCAAAAGATTCTGACTGGTCACAAGATTCGCCCAGATCTGGTTCCCGTACTCAAAATCTGATAAGTACCGTATGTGCATTAACATTCGATAAGATACATGCTGGGTACACCAACACATCAACACCAAGAATGTATCTTGACACGGTATTAGAACATGTACCGTATTGGTCCTTGCTCACGGCAAATTCTCTTTGGTCTCCTATTTGCGACATCCATATCTCCTCAAAAACACAACCGCCACAATGCCCAGCTTGTGCCAGATAAATCGTTCTGTCCCCGCTTGGCCCTTGCCCCATGGAGGGTGGTCCTTCTAGTTGACTTTAAACTCTCAAGTCAACTCAGAAGGGCAGCAGCCGCCATAGGGCCTGTGCTAGTCATAAGGCACCCGGTTGGTCCTTGCCCCATGGCGGGTGGTCCTCCGTCCAATTGGCTGGCGGCCTTGGCTTCCACCCGGGGATCTCATCGTTGAAGAAGTCGTACCAGATGTGACCTGCAGGGAGACAGCCAGGGCAGGAGGCAGACAGGAACGCCATGGTGATTCCGAGTGACTTGCAGGTCTAGAATCAGAGGCTTCCACCCACCCAGGCACATGTGGAGATTTCATCGTTGAAGCAATCGCACCAGATGTGGCCTGGAAGGGTACGGAGTGGGCAGGGGGGAACATGGTGAGCTCATGTAAGCTACGGTTCAAACATCACATGTCTTCCACTCGGGATGGCATCCAGGGCATGCAGGAAAAGCCAAGCGCGCCCATGATGTGTGGGGTTGGTGCATGCAGAGCAGCAAGAGGTGTGGCATGGCATGGCTGTGCACCATAAATGGCTTTTTACCATACCTGGCCTTTCACCATACCTGGCATTTCACCATACCTGGCTTTTCACCATACCTGGCTGTGCACCATACCTGGCTGGGCACCATACCTGGCTGTGCACCATACCTGGCTGTGCACCATACCTGGCTGGGCACCATACCTGGCTGGGCACCATACCTGGCTGGGCACCATACCTGGCTGTGCACCATACCTGGCTGTGCACAATACCTGGCTGGGCACCATACCTGGCTGGGCACCATACCTGGCTGGGCACCATACCTGGCTGCGCACCATACCTGGCTGTGCACCATACCTGGCTGTGCACCATACCTGGCTGTGCACCATACCTGGCTGGGCACCATACCTGGCTGGGCACCATACCTGGCTGTGCACCATACCTGGCTGTGCACCATACCTGGCTGTGCACCATACCTGGCTGGGCACCATACCTGGCTGGGCACCATACCTGGCTGGGCACCATACCTGGCTGCGCACCATACCTGGCTGTGCACCATACCTGGCTGTGCACCATACCTGGCTGTGCACCATACCTGGCTGGGCACCATACCTGGCTGGGCACCATACCTGGCTGGGCACCATACCTGGCTGTGCACCATACCTGGCTGGGCACCATACCTGGCTGGGCACCATACCTGGCTGGGCACCATACCTGGCTGTGCGCCATACCTGGCTGTGCGCCATACCTGGCTGGGCGCCATACCTGGCTGCGCGTTGACGCAGCACCAGATGCCCACGTACTGCCGCACGCGCCATCTGAACTTCCTCTCCATCGCCTGCCCACCCAGCAACGCATAGCGCCCACAGGAGGACACAGAGGATCCAGCAGATCTGACTCCACTCGAAAACGTACTGCCACAACGAAAATTGAGCTGTGGAAATAGGGATATCATCACAGCCGACACATGACATTCACTTTTCGTACCTGCGCATACCATGCAGCAGCACACGTCAGAGATGATACAGTAGATTTGAGAAACGAAGAGAGGTGAAGCACAGAGGGCACGGGAAGAGGGGAAGAGGAGAGGGAACAGGGAGAGGCGAAGGAGACAATTTTCTCACCTTGTCGTCCCAGCCTCCAAAGGAGTCGAGCATGGAAGAGAACTCGATCCACTTGATGTCTGAGTAGCGCGACAGCACTGCCTTGAGCTGCAGGGGCGATGAGTGGCATGGGGGGAGGGGAAGCGGAAGGGAAGGAGACGAGTGTGTGCGTTGGTTGGTAGGAGGTGGAGTGGAAGAGGAGCCGAGAAGATCAACGAGGGGAAACGAAAGAATGGCTTGGCAGCACGGCAGCACGTCAGCACGTCTGCCATTCCAAAATAAATAATGGAATGCCACCCAGCCAGCCATCTTCCATTGTCCACCCAACCATTTCAATCCAACCACCTCCTTCTGCCTCGCGCTCTGCCATCGTGGCTCTCTCTCAAAACTTGCAAGTCAACTCAAACTTGCAAGTCAACTCAAACTTGCAAGTCAACTCAAACTTGCAAGTCAACTCAAGCTTGCAAGTCAACTCAAACTTGCAAGTCAACTCAAGCTTGCAAGTCAACTCAAACTTGCAAGTCAACTCAAACTTGCAAGTCAACTCAAGCTTGCAAGTCAACTCAAACTTGCAAGTCAACTCAAGCTTGCAAGTCAACTCAAACTTGCAAGTCAACTCAAGCTTGCAAGTCAACTCAAACTTGCAAGTCGACTCAAACTTGCAAGTCAACTCAAGCTTGCAAGTCAACTCAAACTTGCAAGTCAACTCAAGCTTGCAAGTCAACTCAAGCTTGCAAGTCAACTCAAGCTTGCAAGTCAACTCAAGCTTGCAAGTCAACTCAAACTTGCAAGTCAACTCAAGCTTGCAAGTCAACTCAAACTTGCAAGTCGACTCAAACTTGCAAGTCAACTCAAGCTTGCAAGTCAACTCAAACTTGCAAGTCAACTCAAGCTTGCAAGTCAACTCAAGCTTGCAAGTCAACTCAAGCTTGCAAGTCAACTCAAACTTGCAAGTCGACTCAAACTTGCAAGTCAACTCAAGCTTGCAAGTCAACTCAAACTTGCAAGTCAACTCAAGCTTGCAAGTCGACTCAAGCTTGCAAGTCAACTCAAGCTTGCAAGTCAACTCAAGCTTGCAAGTCAACTCAAACTTGCACGTCAACTCAAGCTTGCAAGTCAACTCAAGCTTGCAAGTCAACAACTCAAGCTTGCAAGTCAACTCAAACTTGCAAGTCAACTCAAGCTTGCAAGTCAACTCAAACTTGCAAGTCGACTCAAACTTGCAAGTCAACTCAAGCTTGCAAGTCAACTCAAGCTTGCAAGTCAACTCAAGCTTGCAAGTCAACTCAAACTTGCAAGTCAACTCAAGCTTGCAAGTCAACTCAAACTTGCAAGTCGACTCAAACTTGCAAGTCAACTCAAGCTTGCAAGTCAACTCAAACTTGCAAGTCAACTCAAGCTTGCAAGTCAACTCAAGCTTGCAAGTCAACTCAAGCTTGCAAGTCAACTCAAACTTGCAAGTCGACTCAAACTTGCAAGTCAACTCAAGCTTGCAAGTCAACTCAAACTTGCAAGTCAACTCAAGCTTGCAAGTCAACTCAAGCTTGCAAGTCGACTCAAGCTTGCAAGTCAACTCAAACTTGCAAGTCGACTCAAACTTGCAAGTCAACTCAAGCTTGCAAGTCAACTCAAACTTGCAAGTCAACTCAAGCTTGCAAGTCAACTCAAGCTTGCAAGTCAACTCAAGCTTGCAAGTCAACTCAAACTTGCAAGTCAACTCAAGCTTGCAAGTCAACTCAAACTTGCAAGTCAACTCAAACTTGCAAGTCAACTCAAGCTTGCAAGTCAACTCAAGCTTCCAAGTCAACTCAAGCTTGCAAGTCAACTCAAACTTGCAAGTCAACTCAAGCTTGCAAGTCAACTCAAACTTGCAAGTCGACTCAAACTTGCAAGTCAACTCAAGCTTGCAAGTCAACTCAAACTTGCAAGTCAACTCAAACTTGCAAGTCAACTCAAGCTTGCAAGTCAACTCAAACTTGCAAGTCAACTCAAGCTTGCAAGTCAACTCAAACTTGCAAGTCAACTCAAGCTTGCAAGTCAACTCAAACTTGCAAGTCGACTCAAACTTGCAAGTCAACTCAAGCTTGCAAGTCAACTCAAACTTGCAAGTCAACTCAAGCTTGCAAGTCAACTCAAGCTTGCAAGTCAACTCAAACTTGCAAGTCAACTCAAGCTTGCAAGTCAACTCAAACTTGCAAGTCGACTCAAACTTGCAAGTCAACTCAAGCTTGCAAGTCAACTCAAGCTTGTAAGTCAACTCAAGCTTGCAAGTCAACTCAAACTTGCAAGTCAACTCAAGCTTGCAAGTCAACTCAAACTTGCAAGTCGACTCAAACTTGCAAGTCAACTCAAGCTTGCAAGTCAACTCAAGCTTGCAAGTCAACTCAAACTTGCAAGTCAACTCAAACTTGCAAGTCAACTCAAGCTTGCAAGTCGACTCAAACTTGCAAGTCAACTCAAGCTTGCAAGTCAACTCAAGCTTGCAAGTCAACTGAAGCTTGCAAGTCAACTCAAACTTGCAAGTCAACTCAAGCTTGCAAGTCAACTCAAGCTTGCAAGTCAACTCAAACTTGCAAGTCAACTCAAGCTTGCAAGTCAACTCAAACTTGCAAGTCAACTCAAGCTTGCAAGTCAACTCAAGCTTGCAAGTCAACTCAAACTTGCAAGTCAACTCAAACTTGCAAGTCGACTCAAACTTGCAAGTCAACTCAAGCTTGCAAGTCAACTCAAGCTTGCAAGTCAACTCAAGCTTGCAAGTCAACTCAAACTTGCAAGTCAACTCAAGCTTGCAAGTCAACTCAAACTTGCAAGTCAACTCAAGCTTGCAAGTCAACTCAAACTTGCAAGTCGACTCAAACTTGCAAGTCAACTCAAGCTTGCAAGTCAACTCAAACTTGCAAGTCAACTCAAGCTTGCAAGTCAACTCAAGCTTGCAAGTCAACTCAAGCTTGCAAGTCAACTCAAACTTGCAAGTCGACTCAAACTTGCAAGTCAACTCAAGCTTGCAAGTCAACTCAAACTTGCAAGTCAACTCAAGCTTGCAAGTCAACTCAAGCTTGCAAGTCAACTCAAACTTGCAAGTCAACTCAAGCTTGCAAGTCAACTCAAACTTGCAAGTCGACTCAAACTTGCAAGTCAACTCAAGCTTGCAAGTCAACTCAAGCTTGCAAGTCAACTCAAGCTTGCAAGTCAACTCAAACTTGCAAGTCAACTCAAGCTTGCAAGTCAACTCAAGCTTGCAAGTCAACTCAAACTTGCAAGTCAACTCAAGCTTGCAAGTCAACTCAAACTTGCAAGTCGACTCAAACTTGCAAGTCAACTCAAGCTTGCAAGTCAACTCAAACTTGCAAGTCAACTCAAGCTTGCAAGTCAACTCAAGCTTGCAAGTCAACTCAAACTTGCAAGTCAACTCAAGCTTGCAAGTCAACTCAAACTTGCAAGTCAACTCAAGCTTGCAAGTCAACTCAAACTTGCAAGTGGACTCAAACTTGCAAGTCAACTCAAGCTTGCAAGTCAACTCAAACTTGCAAGTCAACTCAAGCTTGCAAGTCAACTCAAACTTGCAAGTCAACTCAAACTTGCAAATCGACTCAAACTTGCAAATCGACTCAAACTTGCAAGTCAACTCAAGCTTGCAAGTCAACTCAAACTTGCAAGTCAACTCAAGCTTGCAAGTCAACTCAAGCTTGCAAGTCAACTCAAGCTTGCAAGTCAACTCAAACTTGCAAGTCGACTCAAACTTGCAAGTCAACTCAAGCTTGCAAGTCAACTCAAGCTTGCAAGTCAACTCAAACTTGCAAGTCAACTCAAACTTGCAAGTCAACTCAAGCTTGCAAGTCGACTCAAACTTGCAAGTCAACTCAAGCTTGCAAGTCAACTCAAGCTTGCAAGTCAACTGAAGCTTGCAAGTCAACTCAAACTTGCAAGTCAACTCAAGCTTGCAAGTCAACTCAAGCTTGCAAGTCAACTCAAACTTGCAAGTCAACTCAAGCTTGCAAGTCAACTCAAACTTGCAAGTCAACTCAAGCTTGCAAGTCAACTCAAGCTTGCAAGTCAACTCAAACTTGCAAGTCAACTCAAACTTGCAAGTCGACTCAAACTTGCAAGTCAACTCAAGCTTGCAAGTCAACTCAAGCTTGCAAGTCAACTCAAGCTTGCAAGTCAACTCAAACTTGCAAGTCAACTCAAGCTTGCAAGTCAACTCAAACTTGCAAGTCAACTCAAGCTTGCAAGTCAACTCAAACTTGCAAGTCCACTCAAACTTGCAAGTCAACTCAAGCTTGCAAGTCAACTCAAACTTGCAAGTCAACTCAAGCTTGCAAGTCAACTCAAGCTTGCAAGTCAACTCAAGCTTGCAAGTCAACTCAAACTTGCAAGTCGACTCAAACTTGCAAGTCAACTCAAGCTTGCAAGTCAACTCAAACTTGCAAGTCAACTCAAGCTTGCAAGTCAACTCAAGCTTGCAAGTCAACTCAAACTTGCAAGTCAACTCAAGCTTGCAAGTCAACTCAAACTTGCAAGTCGACTCAAACTTGCAAGTCAACTCAAGCTTGCAAGTCAACTCAAGCTTGCAAGTCAACTCAAGCTTGCAAGTCAACTCAAACTTGCAAGTCAACTCAAGCTTGCAAGTCAACTCAAGCTTGCAAGTCAACTCAAACTTGCAAGTCAACTCACGCTTGCAAGTCAACTCAAACTTGCAAGTCGACTCAAACTTGCAAGTCAACTCAAGCTTGCAAGTCAACTCAAACTTGCAAGTC